GGCGAACAGCTCTTCAGGTTTAAGGCAAACAAGTTCCAAGCACCCTTGCAAGCAAAGCAAGCTCACAAAACACTCGGACAGTTCACACTTTTAGCACGCACAGCTCACTGCTGGTCTCACGTGTCTTGAGCCAAACGACAGTAGTCGTGGCACCTCTTAAAAGCTCCCAAGCACTACAAAACAAGGGAAAACAGGTTGAAGCTATCCCTAGAGTCTAGTAGCCATGCCATTTATGTCACGTATCACACGAAAAGCACTTTTTGGCAGCAAATAATACTGACAATGTTGCATTCGTCAGCTGTCATCCGCTGTCATCCGCGCATGGGCGGTCAGAAGAGCCGCCCCTCCGCGTCCACTCTGGGGCGGGAGGGCGGGAAACAGTAAATACTGCAGCACACAGCTGCAGTTGCACTTGGACTGGCATACCAGACTCAAGGGATAGCTTGACGCATGATGCGACATGTTCCATCCCTAGAGTCTAGTAGCCATGCCATTTATGTCACGTATCACACGAAAAGCACTTTTTGGCAGCAAATAATACTGACAATGTTGCATTCGTCAGCTGTCATCCAAAGCAAAGCCGCTGCCAAAAGTGCGAGGCCGCCATACCACCATTGCCAGACACCGCGCGGCCCGCAATCCTGGAAGAAGCAGAGCAGGAGCACAACAAAGCAAAACTGGCTAACGCAATTGGCCAGCGTCCAAAAGGCGGCGCCAGTCCGCCGTCCGGTTTCGGCGGGGGTCCAAGGGCGCCCAAAACTCTGGCGAGCCGCCCGCCCGCTCTCTGCTCAACAGATCTGCCCACGTATTCCGCTGACCTGCAACATGGGATACCTGCAAAACAACCTCGCGCTGCATGCACAGTACTGCCATAGCCTGCAGGACGTCGGCCAGCGGTCGACGCATAGAAGAAGCCTTGCTGACTGCGCCGCAGACCCCCGTGTTGTCGCAGCTTTGTCGGAGCACCACCTGCCCTACACACGAGGACGTCGGGCAAACCCGGCGATCCGCCATCAGTAAGTCGCTGAGCACAAGTTGGGCTAACGCTTCCAGCGCGCATATGTACTTCTGCAGATCACTGCGACCATGCTCTTGCACAAACCAGTCCGGCAACTCTGCGGCCTGAATGGCAATGGAGAACCAAAAGATAGACGCTGGGCAAATCCCATCGCTTGGCAGCATCCACCAGCCCCCAATTCCAGCACTCTGGCCTTGTGCGTAAGCATCAGCCGCCGCCAAGACATGGGGTCCCTTCTTGTGCACTAGCTGCACTTCCACATTTTTGGCGACCAAGTGGTGGTAGAAATCAGCGACCTGTGCTTCTTCCTTGGAGACTCGTACCTCCTTGGAGCAGCCATCTGCAAATTTGACCCAGGCCCGACCCTGCTTCAACTGTGCACTTAGCAAGTTTCGTGGGCAGCGGAATGGAACATGTCCGACTTCCAAAACGTGCCAACCTTGCATAACGTCTGACAGAAACGGGCAAGTGAGAATCTCACCCTCCACACTTACAACACGAGAGATCTCCGTGAGTTGCGCGCTGTCCAAGGCTCGCAGCACCACTGACGGCTTGTGCAGCAGATGAAACAATTGACGCAACCAAGGCCGAAGCCAGCGCACGCCAGAAGCAAACCAAGCCAAGAGACCAACCACCTGCTCCAAATGTTTCCGTGACACCAAAGATCCAGTAACGCGCAACGGTTGCAGTGCACCCAGGAGACGGACACGCTTATCTTCTGGCAGATGCGCCTTCGGGGCTTGGCCGAGACGCACCATCCAACCCAGCCATTTCACACAGCTTCCAAGCACCAACTTCTTCCAGCTAATAGGAATGCCTAAAGCAGCGGCTAAGAAGACAACCAAGCCCGCACCAGCTGAAGCTTCATTACTTCGGAACAGTGCCAGAATGTCATCCACGTAAATAGCCAGAAAGTGTCGTCGGTGAATTAACCGATGCACGACCCGGACGAATGCGCCTGCTGTCCTGGCCCACCAATAAGCCGCCCACGAACATCCGAAATGGCATGTGCGGTAGCACAACCAGTGTGTAGCTCCGTCTGCGTCAGTTACTGCAAACAGCGAGTATCCTCTCTCCGCAGCAGCCACTTTGACACGCTTGTGAGCTTTGGCCACATCCAGGATGAACGCTATCCACTCCCCGTCGTGACGCGACAAGAAACTGGACACATCTTGCAACGAGGGCAGCTCAATCTTCTCGGCAATTCTGCACAACCGGTTGGCATTAGACACCGTGCTGTCCCCGACGAGTCTAGGCGCACTGCCCTCCTTCTGCACCACACCCAACCGACCGGCTGCGCAAGCATTGCCGAACCGGGCCCGAGCTTCATCTAGCCCACCCGGCAACCATTCTGCAAAGCCCTGCCGCACATCTTCTTGCACCAGCTGCATAAGCAGGGACGGATCTCTTTTTCCCGATCCCCAAGGTTCTTCATGGATCAAGAGCTCCAATGGAGGACGGTCCGGAGTGTTGACCGGGTGCCACACCCCCGACGGAGGGATAGTACGCTCAATGCCGGTCGGCACCCCTTTGCTCAAGATTGCCGGAAGCTGGACGTCGACATCTTGGATCATATGGAGCAAGCCCTCCAATAGCTGCAACGCCAGCGGCTGCCCATCTGCTATTTCCAAGCCACACGAAACGCCCTCGCTACTCAGGAAAGACTGCAAATCTCTGCGCAGGTCTGCAATCTCGCGATCACTCAGCAAGGCACTTTCGCTGCGGCTCCTAACGTGGCGCAGCATTCTGTGTTCCACATTCCAATCCCGCATGCGACGCATCCAGCTTTGGCGCAACTGTGCAAAAATGTCCTCACCATCTGGCGGCCCCCAGTCTGCACTCGAACACACGCCGCCTCCATCACGCAATCGAACACCGTCCGCCAAGATGCCTGTCTTCGTCTGCAGACTATCATGGCAATCCCGCTGCACCGGGCTGGTACTGCCTAGTCACTGCCTACGATCCTTGCCGCAAGACCGAGAATCGTGGTCTGCGCTGCCGCACCGAGCGCAAGCATGCTTGTATCGACACGCCGGGTCCTTGCACTTGAAGCCGTCCATCCATGTGTGGCACTCGCCAGTGCGGGGCTTCTTAGCCCGCGCGGTATTGTCACCAGAGCCACGCTTGCTGTCCCGCGTTGGCGGCAATGGGGGCGGGGCATGCGGAACGCCCTCACCAAAACGCTTCTTTGGGGCAGCAGGCTGCTTCTGTGTCTTGGGCAGCGGGAGCAAGAGGTGTCGCAGCAGATCTCGCTCCACGACCACATGATTGAGCGCATCGTCCAACGATGTGCCATCAAAGCAAAGATTGAAAACCTCCGCCGACGCTGCCCGATCCGCTTCTTCGGCTTCGGCGCCGGTGGGTGGGCGCATGGACTCCGTTGGCCGGCGGGTATAATAGCTCATAAACTTCATCGTGTACGTGGACCACGAGCCCAGATGACAAGCACTGCACATGGCGTACGCGTTGCCTCGTGTCTCTAATATTGACTGCACACGGTATGCCGACCCAATCACTTCGGCTTCACGTTCTTCGCGCAGTACGCCCATGGAATCTGCTACCACATGCAAGAGCTCATCATTGGGCAACCCGGCACGCTTCGCACGGATTTCTTGGCTGGCTTCTTCACTGACAATCCGCCTCCATGGTACCCACTCCCAATGTTTCCCCGTGCACTGAGCTGACACCACTTGCAAATACGACATGGCCGGCAACGTCGCCGGTGAGAACACATGCGCTGGATACTTCTTCTCCGTCTCTTTTCGCATGCGCTCACGGTCGGTGGTTGTCAGCTTTGTTGCACTGCTTGCGACGCCGCCTAGACCCGCTATTCCACGCAAGGAACCCTGGGTCTGAACGCCACCCGCGCTTGGCCCAGAAGGCCCACCAGGCTGGCACTGCTTCCAAAGTAACCGCAACTTTGCCGCAATCGGATGTGTGGGCCATTCCTCTGCCGACAGGTTCTTGACTACATCGCCAAGGCTTGATTGCACTCTCGTCAACCAGCCCTCCAGTGCACTCGCATCAAAGAAAGCATTGGCAAAGATCTCCGACGAATCATAACCTTGCGCGATAATCCCATCTCGCACGGCCTCCGGCAAACCCGACTTCGACAACTGCTCAGCCCAGGCACCGGCCATGTCAGCAACACAAAAGCAAGAATTAGATAGCACATGATGTCTCAAGGAAGAGGTGAGCTCCATGAGGATGCATGTTTAAGCTTCGGGAGGGCCATGGCCCACACACAGCAACTTGAATGGGATGTCGATGGTATCAAAATCCTCAGGTGTAAAGCCAACTGATGCCGCTCCCAGGCGGGCTAAACCTGAAGGATTGATTTGCAAACGATGTCCCCCGCCGGCCGGATGGCCGTAACACACCTTGATGGAAACGACTCGCTCCCGGATCGTAGTTAAAACTACGCAAGTTCAAGGGAGGAGTAGTATATGCACCAGGCCTAGCCGTGAGTGCAACATCAAGGGGGGAAGAGCCCAGCGCATTCCCCCGTGAAGGGATGGGAAGTTCGCTTGAGGGCCAATATCGAGGAGGACTTACAGCGAAGTGGGAGGGGTCTAAAATGTTTGGCTCAAGCCGATGGCTGCATTTTAGAATACATGATGCATCTAATGTTTGCACTGCCCAAGCCACTAACCTACCACAATGCAATGCATTAGATAGCACATGATGTCTCAAGGAAGAGGTGAGCTCCATGAGGATGCATGTTTAAGCTTCGGGAGGGCCATGGCCCACACACAGCAACTTGAATGGGATGTCGATGGTATCAAAATCCTCAGGTGTAAAGCCAACTGATGCCGCTCCCAGGCGGGCTAAACCTGAAGGATTGATTTGCAAACGATGTCCCCCGCCATTGATCTGTCACTGACTTGCCATGGATCTCCGAAAAAACGCAACATGCAACTCACACAGCGTGAAGCACTGAACGAACTGCAACAACGATCTTGCAAGAACGCCTTTACTTGACTCAGTGGGATGTCCAAAAGCGCTCCCACTCCTTCATACTGAGCTCCACGTGGTTCTGGGGCCACGTGCGTGGGAAAACTTTCGAAACTAGTGTAATGCCTGCCTTAGCTGCTATGGGGCAGCAGACACCCACGCGAGAACCACCGTCTGCGATGTTGGATTTGCTGGGAACGTGTTCCCACCATGCTCGGACGCCTCTCCGCATGAGTCTCAAAACAGTCGCGTGAACGATGCATCCAAGGTCCAGGGAGCTAGATGAGCCCAGAACGAAGTTGCAGAGAACACCCATATTGTCAATGAAAACCGTGAGTAGGCAGTGCTGTAGTAGGTCAGGTTCGAAATATAGTGCCAGCATCGGGGCCAAGGCCTCAGCCTGTGCAATGAGTGTTTCTGAAGGCTGGAAGCGGGCCAGAACCTCCGGAGGCACGTCAATGACAGCACCCCTTCGTATATGCCTGTGCGCACAGGCCACAATGAAACAAATACGTGCTCGAGGCACACCCTGAGCATCAACATGAAAAGAAGCATCTGTGAACAGAGATACTTGCGGCAAGACCGATGGGTCCATGGGCACTTGTCGGTAGGGACATGTTTCCAGCATTTCCAAGAATAATTCCAGTTCCATGCGAATGCCGGACGACATCGCAACCATGTGGTCCGATGCTGCCCTCTCGTCCAGGTGCGGAGTCGGGACTCTGCCCGAGCGGCCTTGATATGTTTCGGATAAATGAAGAAGCTTGCCACGCAAGGACATAGCCGAAGATGCAGAGAGACGGCCTTGACATTGAATCTGAAGAATTTGTTTCCGAATTTGTTCCTCTCGGCCAGGTTTGGGTAGATGCCAAATTGAGTCCGACGCACCCAGATGAGAGTAGACCTCGCGTGCACCGAGAAAAATTGCATCAGCTGACGGCATTTGGTCCTTACTTGGGTCTCGCCTATATCCCAACCAGTCCAAAAGTTGCAAGAAAGACCTGGTGGCAGACCCATTGCTACACGCCACATCCACCACTTTAAAGTCGTCAAAGAAGCTGAAGAGTGGTATAGCCAGCCAACGGCGTGCGAGAGCAACGATGAAAGATGGCACCCTGTTGAAGCCCAGGACGGCTGCTGAAAGACCAAAGGCCAAACCATCACACTCCGCGAAAACCCATTGTCGACGTTCAGGGTGGTAGATGGCAACAATGGAGAAGCGAAGATGTTCTGGGATGACAGGAATTTGTCGGTACGCCTTTTCCAAATCATGGGTACTAACACGCACTTCAAAGTCACCTGCCAACGGTTGCCCGTGCAAGGAGCGCAGCCTCCGGACGGCGGCAAACGTTGCTGATGCAGATGTTGTGTGAATGCGCTCGGTCGCCTGCATAGTGCGGTTAGTGCTGGATGCTTTGGCATCATCAATGAGGCGCCATTTTGAATGAGATTGTTGCCACACAGCGAAGCGTGGCATGGGGCGCCAACGGCCTGCACCATGTCTGGAATCCATCTCAGACGCCGTCCAATAGCCACGCAAAGTACCAGACTGGCGCTCCGCCTCAGACTTTTCCCATATGACCTGCACCTGATCTGGCGGCGGCGGTTTCGAAGCCAACACCGATTGCACAAATGCAGCGTGGGACTGTTCGAACTCTTGCAAAGGCACTGTTGGCTCCACGCACGCTGGTCGGTAGATGCGAGATTCAGGGATGTTGCCCACGATATGAGCTCCGCGCTGCGCCAACTCCAGCAGCTCAACATCCGGCCAACACAATGAAAATCTGGCCAAATCCAACCTGTCCAAATGTACGTGCGAGGCCACTCTAACGGATGTGCTGGATCGACCGAGGTCCAGCATGTCTGCCAGGCCGTGTGCACTCTCGACCGCTGCTTTGAGAATGTTAAGCTGGCGACGCCGCCAAGCTCGGGCACCCCGCCCAAGTTGCAAACACATGCGCAAAGCAAAATCGAGATCATCTGGGACGGGTGGCTCCATGCTAAGTGGAGACTCCATAACCTGCCCACATTCAAAGTGTAGCCCAGGGTCCAATCCCAGCGGCAAGAGAGCACGCTGTCCGGATGCTGCCGTCTGGGCGCGCGATTGCAACAACAAAGCCAAGGATGCCGAACTGTGAGCATTTTGTTCGATGATGTCCGGGCCCATGGGGATGTCAGTGCGTAAGCCTCGACTGGAGACATCTTGGATGTAAGGGCACTGGCGGCGCAGCGCCCAGTACACTGCACCATGTTCCTGGAAATGCTTGTTGATAAGTCCGTCAACTTGGACTGGCAGGCTGCTTGTGATCGGACACCAGGCTTGCGCAAACGTGAACGGTTCCACACGAGACAGAAGCGCTTTTGCCAATGGTATCGGCAGCATGGGATACAAGAGGGCACTACGAGCAACTGCACAATGCTCAAGTGGACGATCCTGGTAGCTGATAAGCAAAGGCGCTGTATAATGGCCTGGTAGCCCGAGAAGCTTCTCCATTTCCAACGGGACCAACAACCTGCGAAACAAAGTGGCCGGGCTGCGCACGAATCGCAGTGGATGATCAAACAACAAGCAATGCTTGTGCAGGAAGTTTTCCGCTTCCCAACCAGGCAGGAGGGCCGTCTGCTCGGACGGAGTTGACGCAAGCAGTGGTATGCGGTTGGCTGTAGGAGGCAATGTCCACCAGCACAGTTTTGCCAAGTGGCCGACGCATGCGTCGGGAGGGAATACCTGCGCTGAGGATTGAAACTGCTCCCTGTACAGCGCGACACCCTCATCATCGGCAGCCTCACACGCTGTAATGGCGATGACAGGTCTATGCGTCGCAGCCGAAAACCACTGCAGCACCCTGCAAAACGTCTGCATTTGTTCCAGCCGCCTTGTGGGACCACTCCAGACAGCACTGCAAACCAAAACAAAGGCGTCCCCTGCATGCTTTTGGGCCAAATCGTCCACCATAGTTTTAGTGATCGAGCTACTGGGCCCCCAATCTTTTGCGGAAGGGTGATGCGCCGCGATGATGGATTTCGCGTCTTCACCGACATCCAGTACATAGGCGGATGGAGGTTTCCAGTGAAGCTCCTCTGATGCGATGAGGAAGGGCGCCAAGCCGTGGCAGAACTCCACCAATACCCAACTGGCTTTATCATGATCTGCACGCCTTCCCTAGCGAACGGCGGGTTTTCCATGCTTGACAGGGTCATGAGTCTCACGAGTGTGGTCCCGCCCCTCGCACACTTTGCCCGATGAAGCAAGGACAATGTCGCAGCAGTGTACCTCGCCCTTTGGGCACTTGACCTCGCATCCCCTGCGATCGTTGTTCTTTTTGCAGATCTTGTGACCAGAGGCTGTGTGGTTTGCAGTCTGCCACTTGGAGCGGGAGGCGACGGGCTCAACAGTTGGTGGCGGTGGCGATGGTGCGGGAACGAGTGTGGCTCCGCTCCTGCCGGCTCGGTGCAAAACATGATCGTGGTCCTTCCAAATTGAACTGTGCTCCTTAATAACATGCGCAAGGGCATGCCCCCATGGTTGCTGTTCGCTGCCACGGGCCAGCTCGATGGCCTTGGCCCGAAAGTCCTCCTCGACAGCACGGATGTACTCAAGAACCGAGTCCATGGTGTATTGCCCGCAGAGCTTCCATGCACGCTGAGCAAGTTGGAAGCAGTATTGCGACAGAAGGGGCCACGCAGCATACTTGACCATGCTTCCTTTGTACTCGACATCGAAGCAACCAGCCACTGCCCACGTAAAGCACAAGACCTCAAGCAATGAAAGGAACCCGTGCAAAACCTGGGCCACGGATGATTCTCCATCGTCGTGGCCTGTCGTCGAGATGTCGAGGGCGACTCCATCTGTAAGACGCTGTTTCTTAAAAGGAGGCGCCTTCTGTGCAGTTGCAAGGGAACGAACGCGAGCCACTGGGAACATGGAAGGTTGTTTCGCTTCAAACTCTCGGCGGAAGCGCCCAAACATGGAGTCGCTGCCGATGCGCTTGGAGTCAATCTCGCCCCATTTGTGGTATGAGATGAATGTGGCCACATACGATTTCTGAACATCTGGATCCAAGGGGTCATCCAAGTCCTCCGGAGCCAAGCCTTGGGATTGCCGGGATATTTGTCGAGCCACCAAAGCATCAGCTTCCCGCCATGCTTGTTTGAGCATGGCAAGCTGACTGCGGTCGTCCTTTTTGGCCGGGATCTTGGCCAATATGGTGGCTTCGATGTCCTGCCTGGAATCCACCCAGTTTGCAAAAGCACGAATGCTGTAGCAACCAACGCTAGCGGAGCCCAGATAGTCAATAATCTCCTGCGCCACGCTGCGCTGGCGCAGAAAGGCTTGGAACTGAGCATCAACGGGCATGAGGATTGCAACGCGAGCTTATGCGGTTCAGGCTTGGACAGTACACTGCGGCACAGCTCACATCACAATGACGAAAGAGATCTGCGTTGGCTTGCGTAGTACCTACGATCGATGGTACACTGAGCACTTGAGCATGGTACAATTACTGGTCACATTGACCGCAACTGTATGTGCAAGGCATAATGCCTTGCGAGGCCGCGTCGCAATGACAAGCGGCGGCTAAGAAAGCCGCATCACAATGAAGATCGGCGCGCATGCAAAGAGGCCACAACTGCTTGTGTCGGAACTGGACTCTGTGGCATAAGAGCACCTTCATGAATGCACCCGCCCATGCAGCTCACGATTTTTGCTGGAAGCCGATCCCTATGAGACTCCGGGAGTTACACCTGGACCTCGCCGAAACGTTTCCATGCTTCGCGAGCCGGCTCCGGCAACCTTCTGAAGCATGTGGGCGACCAACTGCGTCCAGTAGCTAAAGCTGCCTCCAGACCGACACCATCTTCGGGTCGGCTAAATTTCTTTCCGCACTGGCCCATGTTGCAAGAGTGCTCCGATTTCAGATGAAGTTTGCAACGAGTGCCGGAGGTTGGCAGCAGCCATGCGACCGAGGCTTCAATGCTGGGGGCCGACTCTGCAGAAGAAGAGCTGGCTGGGTCCTCGGGCCGAGCAGCCACAATACGTTGTTGGCTTTTGACAACATGTCGCTGCGCGAAGGAGCGTTTAGGCCAGAGTGGCAGTAAGTCATCCCAAGTTGGTGCGTCATCTCCATACCGGGTCCGCCAAGCATTGAGGGCCAGCCGTGCAGCAACGACTAGCTCCGATTTCAGCTGCCGAGCCACCAACAACTTCTTGTCGCTATAACGGAGTGGCATGGCCAGGCGCCAGGATATGGCCTGCATGGACGGGCGTTTGTTATCCACCCATGCTCCAACTGCTAGCAGCTCACGGGGCTTGAAACTGGACATATCAGCCAGTGTTGGCAAAACACGCCGGCTCATGTAGCTCAGGGCAGTGCTTCGACCTCTGTGTTGACAGTCAAAGCCAAGCATGTGAAACAATGCGCGAGACATGCGAACGAACTTCCAAAGAGGCATGGCTGTGGCGTCCAATCCCCGTACCTTGTCGAGGGCTACTCGAGAAGGGGAAAAGTCAGGCAGAAAGAATGTCAACTGTGTCAGATCGCCAAAGACTTTCAAGACAATGCTGGACCAGACTTGGTAAAGATCGATGCCGGTGATGCCGTGACGCGGCATGCTCCACCGGAACGGAGCTTGAACACCACTGACTCTAGCTTTGCCACGATTGCAGAAGAACTCCAACCCCGTTTCAAAGCAATGCGTCAAAGAAGATCGCTGTATGTGCGCAAAGCGAACACATCCCACCAGGAGAAAGATCCATGTGGCACACAACATCTTGACAGCATCCCCAGAGGAGGTATCTGCTAAGATTTGTTCCAGCTTCACCCACATGCTGATTGTCATAGGCGTGGCCGGCATCTCTTCGTGGCCAGGTTCGACAACACCATGCCTGGCCACCTCATTCAACTCCGCATGGAAAACAGCGCCCAAATGCAATTGCAACCACCTGAGGACCGTCAAAGCCCCACGTGGGGATGTCGGTCCTCTACGTCGCAATGAACGCAACCAAAGACCGACCTCAAGCGGTGTGGGTTTCCAAGGCAGCACGCCTGATTGCAAGCACCACGTCGTCCATCGGTTTGCTGTGCTAACTGCCCGCGACAAAGCTGAAATCGGCAACTGCTTCCAAGAGTCAAGCTTACTTTCTCGAAATGCCAGTCGCAGTGTTTCAGAGAGCCCTTGATATTGTGCCCAGAACGAGCCAGCAACTCCGATCTCAATGAAAAGACTCCACAACTTTTCAGCGAGACGACTCAAACGCTGGACGTTTTGACTGACAGCGGCCTGTGATGTTGCGGTGCAGCAGCGACGACGACTGAACTTAGCACCTGGAAGAGCGCGTGATGTCATGGACAAGTGCCGAGGCGCGTGCGGTAAGTATGTTGGTGAGCAAGCCGAACTGCGTGCAACGGGATGTTCATCAAAGCGTTGTGCGGTCAACTGTGCAGCATGATCAGCCCACACATTGGCTAAAGACCACATTTCACACAGCTGCATCACCAGACTTTGAGCTGGTTGATCCCATGTCTGAGATGCTGCCTTTCGAACGTCCTCCTGCGAGTCAAAGTAATTAGCGAACTCGATGGGAGATTGCAAATTCCAGGTCTGGAAGAAATGCCGCCCTGCTTCAGTAGCAGAGCAATGGGCAAGAAGTGGGTCCATTGCCGAGTCTAAAATGTTTGGCTCAAGCCGATGGCTGCATTTTAGAATACATGATGCATCTAATGTTTGCACTGCCCAAGCCACTAACCTACCACAATGCAATGCAGAGAGCAAGAAACACAACCGGTCTCGGCGGCGGCACCGAATGTCTAGATCCGGCCGGCAACACGCAACCGTTTTTATGACAGAAGACATGCCCATCCACAGGGACAAATTGGCATCACGCCATGAGAAACGGTGAGAGCATTCTCACACAGCCTGCATCACGCAGAAAAAACCACGGTGTAGCCTCACGCTAACCGGGCACTGACACAAAGCCGCCACCTGCGACAGTCTCCAGATGTAGCCTCACGCTACGGAGAAATGGTGGAGCAACGCTGCCCCAAACTTAAGCCCACGCAACATGCGCCGCACCAGTCCTGTGCCCTAGCAGGCCTAGCACAAGTCAGGCATCTCGGGCCCACTGACACACATAGCTCTGCCTCAGACACCACGAAAGCACCCGGCATGTTTGCAGCGCGTAAAGCCTTCGAAGAAGGGATCTGTTGACCTGACTTCGTAGAATTCTCCAAGGGTCAAGTCTGGGCGGCAAGCTTTGCCAACTCGAGCCGACTGCCACTCGAGGCCACCCTGTGAGCCGGACGCTAGCTCCACTGCCCGATGACACCATCCAGTTAACGAGTTAACAATCCATGGGCCCGCAAACGTGGTAACCAAAACCCCATCAGCTTCCCCATCAACCATCACCTCATCCTCTTCTTCACTTGCAACACTGTCAACATCCTCACACTGATCCAAAGCTGCGGCGCCGTCTTCACTTTCTGCTTCATCTTCCGTGTCTGAATCGAAGTCTGGGGCCTTGCAAATCACCTGTGGCTGACGCTCCTTCACGACAACGGTGCCCCGACACAAAGGCGTGCTGGGAACCCAACCCCTGCTGATCGCAGAAAGAATGCTGCGTTGACATCGCAGCGCAGGTAGTATGTCATCACGCCTATATTTCTCCACACATCCGGATGAGTTTCGTAGCCGATGATGACCCTGAGCAGCACGCTCCTCCGCCGAGATGCTGAGCTGGCTGGCCCAGCTTAAGCTCGTTGCCTTCAAGCTGTGCATCGTGTAGACACCCGCCTCCGACCGCTCCAAAGAGGTGTGCTGCAGCAGACAACGCCTGAATTGTGCCAATGTAGAGCAATAAGACCATGCCCCGCCGGCATGGCCTAGCAGGAAATCGCGCTCTGGATCCCTTCTTTTAATGTCCAGTAGGTCGGCCGCGAACAAACGCCCCCACATGCTGCCTGTCGATCCACCAAGAAGACAGCCCCAAGGGAAACCTGTTGCACTGGTCTTAGAACGCCAACTCCACCCTCTCACAGACGTGTCGTCAAGCTGCACTGAGGAGATGAGGATTCTTTGGGCATCAGAAAACCGCAAACCAGCCCAAAGCATGAACAGAAAGGCCCGCAGCAAAAACTGATCATCATTGTCTTGCTGCACCGCTGCCAATTCTAGATCGCACACGACAAACAGCGGGAGGGGGGTTGCTTCCTTCGGCGGTCGCCTCTCCCATTTGCCCGCCGACAGCCAGGAGCACACAATAGGTCCCCGAAGGATGAGCGCGAAACTGTCAAGCGCAAGTTTGAAGACCATGAAGCGCAGAGCATGCATTACACCTCGGGCACCAGCTGCCCTGCCGGAACCCCGATCAGTGCGAGCACCCTCTGCAAGTGCGTCTAGGAACTCCACCACGTCCCGACAAGAAGGAATTCCAGCATTGACATCGGTACCTCTGCAAAACTCTAACCAACGTCGCCATCCACATAGGTGTTTCTTCAGGGTACTTGGGGCTCGGTCAGAGAACAAGAAGATCATTCGCTCAGTCCCCAAACCTGCCAAAGCCTGCAGCACTGAGCTGTGTGCTAACACACAACTGGCAGCAGACGCCAAGGCGGACGCGAGCTCAGCCCGCTGATGATCTTCAGCAGCACGAAGACGCAGCGACGCACCATCACCCTGGATTGGCACGAGAGCTTTAGGACGCGCTGCAATCGGAGGCCCGCCACTGGGGTAAATACTGCAGCACACAGCTGCAGTTGCACTTGGACTGGCATACCAGACTCAAGGGATAGCTTGACGCATGATGCGACATGTTCCACCGCAAAACCGTCACGCAAGCTCAAACTACGTTCTACAGGCACTAACCACCTGAAACTAGCAAAACTATACAACTATACAGGTACCGAGGAAAACTCTGTGTCGCACCTAAACACTACTGGGCAGAGCACTGGTTTTCTACACCCCCCCACGACGCAGTAGCTGTCGGAGGTACCAGGTGGAGATCCCTTAAACAGTACTCGCACGCCACTTTAGCAGCGATGCGATTCGGAATCGCGTTCCTGAGGCCGTGGCAGTCCCTACGCACGTGGAAACAGTCTCCGTAAGCAGAAGTAAAGACAGCCATCTTCTGGCCTGACCTTGGCAGAAACGAAAGAAGGTCCTGCACAGTCTTGACGCGGGAGCTCTCGGTACGCAGCTTCTGCAAGCACACTCCAAGCGCAACACCCACAAGCAGTGGGACAAGCACAACAGCGAGAAGCCCGACACTCGGTACTTCGAGAAGCTTCTCTTGCACTTCCACAACCAGGCCAAACACCATGGCACGCTCGGCAGCGAAAGGAACCAGAGACATCTTAAACGTCCTGGCAAAGAAAGAAAACACCGGAAAGTTTGAGCAAACGGGCTGCGCAGCAAACATGCAACGACATGTCCTCGACAACGACAAGACTCTCGTAAAAAGTCAAGGGCGCAACGCTTCAAAGAAGGACTTTACAAGCTCTACCGGGTAGTGCTGTGTACTCTTGAGGTCGAAGTCCTTTGAGTGCTCATGCTTCCCAGAGCAACGATAGACACGAATGCTCTCAGCAACTGCTGGGTGTGTGGTAACAACACGCCACCGCTTGGCGATAAGAAGATGATCGCGGCCTCGCATGTCAAGCGCGCAACCATCAACTGGAACGTCGTGCAAAACGTAGGAGCGTGAAGAAAGAAAATGCTCAGTCTGGCGCCAAGACCAGTAAGCACAAGCACGTGGCCACTCAATGGCCCAAGCATGCACAAAGCTAGTAAGCTCGACCAAGCTTCTCCAGAGCTTTCGGTGCAGCCTCCAGTGCTGAGCCAACCGCCCTCGGCGATAAGCTGGATCACGGGCACGCAGCCTTTGATATGGGCAGCCTCCGGTGCACGGAGTACTGGCCCACAAGAAGACAAAACCCTTCTTCTTGATCTGCGCAGCAAAGATGGCTTTGAGCTCAAGCAAGGTCTGTGCACTGGCACCATCATCACACTCACTCACAGTAAGCACATTCACCCAGTTCAAGCCCTGGCTAGCCGCTCTCATCGATGATTCAACGGGGGCACAGAACTCAATCACCAACCAAGAGGCATGCGGCATGGCGGCAAAACGGTCACGCAAGCTAACATGGTTCTTACCAACAAGCATTGCACCGCATAACGCAACAAAGCCATCAAGTGCACAAGCAACAACGGCAACGTCACGCAAGCCAAGTCCCCACATGTGCTTCAAGGTAACAGTCCAACTCAAAGGTTTGGTGAACAAATCTGCAACATTGGCTTCACCACGCACGCCAAAGATAAAAATCTGCTTTTGCTTGAGCTGGTCTTGGATAAAGCTTTTTGACTTTGAACCGCGGGACAAGTAGCTGTCCACCTGCGAGCCCGAGGTGCACTCACTTGGTACACCGCAGGAGAGCTGCTTTCAGCTCAAAAGCGCTACACTCGTGATCCGAATTTTCGGACCACGACGTGAACCTACCCAAAACTACGGACTGCAAAAGCACTTGCTGTGTTGTTGTGACAAGAGGTAGTTGTCAGAAGACAGTCACCTGCTTTCGCACCCAGCGCTAGGTGCTGGCCACAACGAGCGAAGCTCAAGCTGAAGAGTCCTCTGGTGCAAGTACGCTGTAAAAAGCCGTGGGCCGAAAAGTCAGCCTCCACAGTTGTGCGACAAGAATGTTGTGGCGCAGCAGGCAGCCACTACCGAGCAGTGAGGTTACACTCGAGTTAGGTAGAGAACATAGCAGTTGGCTTGAATCTCATGCCTGATTTTGGCATTTGCAAGAGTGGCGGTTTTGCCATCGTCTGCATACCAGAGTTTGTTGCCTTCGTCCAGCAAGGCAGCTCGGTAATGGCCCTCCGTAGGAGTGTTTCCCAAGTGAACCGCGACGGCTTGCAGCTTATATGCGACAATGCATACACGAGTGTCCGATGCAACAAAGCTAGGAATTTGCACCACTTCATCGTCAAGCCTTAAGAGGGTGTGAAGTTTACCATGCGGGCCGTATCGCGAAAGCTGCAAAGCTATGCACTCAGGAGGATGCCACAGCGCATGGACCTGGGCTTGGGCAGTCCATGAGTTCACAAGTTCTTGCACCGTAGCGCCAGCAGTCAGGGGCACCGACAAAGGCAGGGGAGAGGTGTCTCCCAGGTATCGCACCTCTCCTTCAGTGGTGCGTGCTTGCCATACTCCACTCAAAGCGTTCATGTTGGCTCCCACCTGGAAGGATTTGAGAAACTCAGCTGCGTCGTGCTGCTGTCCCGGGGCCCTCCAGTGATGAAGCAGTTGCTTGAACGGCCAGAGATCCCAAAGCATAAAGGGTTTAGGCATCCTTAGCAGGCGTGATCAGCTCCGCGTCCTGGCTCAAACGCACGATGTGATCTACTGACTCCCTGACCTCCTGCATGTTCAGCGGCTTCTTCTCCATGTCCGGGATCAGCCGTCCTCCTGTCTCCTCGTTGGCCTCCCAGCGGAGGAATGCCCAGTGTCCGTCCTTCAAATAACCCAGCTTCGTCATCAAGGACTGAATCTCGGCTGTGAGGAGCGCCGGGGTGAGGCGACGTTGAAACTCCTTCCAAAGGTGGAGCCACAGATGATGCCGCAGGGAGGTGCGGGCCAGGCCCTGATCTCGATCCGTTCTCCATGTCTCGGCAGCTTGATGGAGGCTCTCGGGGAGGCCGCCCGGCAATCCCACCCGCAGCCAAAGCACGAACGATGTGTCGAGCTGGAGTGCCTTGATGCTGTCCTCGTGGCGGATTGCCAGTCTGATCAGCTGTTCGCACAGCTGACGAAGGTCCATCAGCTCCTGCTGTTCGTCCTTGGTGAGCTGCTTCTTGCCGCGACCCTTGTCCTTTCCGTTTCCTTTCCCCTTTCCCTTTCCCTTTCCCTTGCCCTTTGGCTGTGTCTGGGTCTTCAGCTGTTTGGCCGGTGTCGGGTCGTTCTCCGAAGCCGACGGCAACGGGCGGCTCTGCTTGGGTGCCGGCTGGTTTGCCATGAACCTGGAGTACAGCTCCCACTCCTGACTGTCCTCCTGCTCCATCTCGGTTGCGGTCATCTTCAGCTGAACCTGAGTGCATAGGAGGGCAGTCGGAGTTGGTAGATTCAAGGCTGGCATAGATGGACTGCCAGAGTACGTGGCAGCCTACGGCATGTCGGCTGGGGGCAGAACGATACTGCCTGCCACAAGAGCGACAAGGGTTGCCCACCGCTATGCCTTTGGCTGTTGCCTCTGTTTGCTCGAGCCGGCTGTGCAAGGTCTTGTGCTTGGCTTTAAAGTGCACCTTGACTCTAGAGGAATCGGCAGCCCAAAGGCGACACTCAGGGCAGTGATGTTCCATGCGCGCATGCAAAGATTGCAAACCCGTGATGTGTTTCCAGTCACGTTTGGCTACAGTCTCTAAGGTAGCAATGGCCGGTTCATCGACCAATCTGGCGCAGAAGTCGGGGGTAGCCTGGGCAGCGGGCGGTGTTTCCAGGGTGGGTGTAGGCACATCGGAACTCCCATCCCGACACGAATGTCCTAGCAGATGGGTACTCTCAACTTGCACCGGGTGCGCTGGAACTGCATCGGCAGAGTCAGCTGGACGCTTCGGGCAATTATCGAAGAGTATGTGCGAATTAAAATTGCGCCAGCCATTGAATTCTTTAAGACAATAGCGACATGTAGGGACCCCACCTAAGGAATGTTCAACCTGGTTCTGCTGCTGGGTGGCTCGCCTGACGGTGCCACGCTTGATGGCTCCATGCTTCTGGGCTCTGTGAGTTTGCAAAGTGGCTGCTGTGGCAAAGGTGCAGGGACAATCTGGACACGCAAAGGGGCGGGTCACTTCGCCTACCTCAACGAGCTTGACTGGCACTCTTGCTGGGCTGAGCTTCCGACTTTGTCCTGAGAAGTGTGTGCGGTTCACCGGCACCGGGGGTGCCTGCGTGGCCTGCTCTGTGTCAGCCGGAGTTTCGTTCGCTGGTGGCGGCTGGGGCTGTGAATGAACAGGCTCGTCTGGGGATCTCGCCAAGGTGGCTAGGAGAAGGTGATGCCATTGGCGTGTACGTTCTAGCTGCAGGGCCTCAGGCAGAGCTTCGAATCGATCTTTGTTAGCTTGGGCCTCTGCACGCAGAAGTGACTCAGGGTGGAACCGGAGCTCAGCGAACAGCTCCAGGTTAGTTTTGTGAGTTTCGTGTCCCAGGCTGTGCGTTATGATTCGGAGCTGTCTGGCGGCAACTCCTTGCACTCTCTGCAGTGACTTGGGCTCCAGCGGCAGGGTGGAGAGGCCGTATCGCAATGAAGGCCACACGATCGCTCGCCACAGCCGGATGCGATTGTGCATGCTGAGGCTGTGGCGCCCACAGAGCACCTGTCGCAGCCGTGCGAAGACCTGGGTGGCACGCTTGCATCGATAGGCTACCGAATGGTGCTCGAACGCCCCATATCCAATGATCATGCCTAAGTAGGTGTGTCTGCGAACGATGGGAAAAGACAGGTCTGTGGCCAATCGTAGCCTGGGCTGCCCCTGCTCCCGAAAACGAAGTTTTCCGAGAATTTGCGAGGCTTTGGGGCCGTCGACCTGCAGCAAGATCACACTCTTGGTCGGGCTGACCCGAAACCCATGATGTTGGAGTACCCTGACCATCCTTCGAATCTGCTCGAGTCCATCTTGGAGGGCCTCCGGGGATGTGATGCGCCACTGGCCAATCACGTCGTCGGCGAACATTGTGATGACTTGCGACGCGTCGGGGCCTAGAGCTTCCAGGAGACGATGATAGACAAAGGTGGTCGCAGCAGCCCAGAGTGACGGGGAAAGGGGACATCCCTGTCTCACACCCCGGGCTGTGTGGCAAGTTGCAACATCTCCCCCGTGATCGATTTCAAGCACAATCTGCGCATGAAGGGTGACAATCTGGGTGATCATATCCTCTGGGGCTCCGGCTGCCCTCAATGCGGCAACAATCACCCAACGAGGTATGGAGTCGAAGGCCTGAGCCACGTCCAGTGAGAAGCTTATCCCACCAGTGCACGGGTGCTGGACAGTGCGGTCCTGGCGGCGCTGGACCATGCGTGCTCGCACTGGGGCCTTTGCGCGAACAGCAAAGAAATGCGAGTAGACGCGGTGAAGAGCTTCGGCAGTTGAGCGCCCATGACAGTACGCGAATTGTGGCGACGAGGCGAGGTACGGGAGTAGGAATGGCGCAAGGAGCTCATTCAGCATCGAGGCGTGCGCTTTGTTGGCCGGGTGAATGAGGCTGATCGGCCGTGCGTCGGCCGGTTGTTGTGCACGGCGCCCTGGCTTGGGAATTAAGCAGAGGGCAACTTGTCTGAGCTCAATCGGGAGTCTCCAGGGCACCTCGGCATAGGAATCGTTGAGGATGCGGCTGAGCATGGGGCCCAAAGTCGTGGCACCAAGCTTCCACAGTACCCCTGGGGCGGCTTTCGGGTGTGCGGCTTTCTGTGCTGGGAGCCGGGCCAGGGCTGTTGTGCAACCAGCGGGTGTGAACAGGGGCTCCTGGCATGGTAGGACACGGTGGGGCTGTGCCTCAGGAGCCCGATAGAGATCACGAAAATGGGCCAACAATGTTTCACGTTGTGCTTGGGGTCCCTGCATGTGTCCCTCCGGAGTGCGAACATGAAGCTTCAAGTTGACCTTCTTGGGTGCAAGGCGCCTTACCACCGCATAAACCTTAGAAAGGTGTCCCTTGCCGGCAGCAGTTTCGGCCTGCTCCACTTGGTCCAGAAGGAACTGTCGCTTACGGTGCCTGCGGGCTGCACCTGCGGCACGTTCGAGCTCACTCAGCCGAACTGAGGTTCGCCAGTGGGCGAGTTGACCATGCAGGCTGGTGTCCTCGGCCAGTCGCCGCTTCTCTGCCCTGAGTTCCCATATGCGAGGTGCCGTATGAAGCTGTGGTGCGCCTGCCTGCTCATTCTTGTCTCGGCTTTGCTTGTTGCCGGCTGTTGCCGGACAAAGCTGTAGCCACACATCCTGGAGGATACGATCTATGTCCTGGATTGAAGCGTTAGGGGGCAGGATGGCACTGAGGTGGGCCTCGAAGGTGGCCTGTAGAGCAACGCAGCCACGACCTTGTGGGGGCGCACAGCAGGGGGTCTTCGCGCAGTGAGGTTCCAGGGGCACCAGTTCAGAGGCAGAGAGCCTTGCAAGGGCAGGTGTTTCATACCAAGTCGGGCCGCACCGACCGGCCAGTCTGCAATGGTGGCAGCTTGACGGCTGGTTTTGTCACTGTGGGCCGAGCGGGCAATGATGTAGTCGATTTGGGATTGGGTGCCGTTGCTCTCATTGATGAATGTGCTGCCTGGGCTTGGCCCGAACGTGTTCAGAGCCAGCAGGCCAAAGGTCTCCAAGGTGTTGGTGAGCTCGGGCACATCAAGATGAGGGCCCGGGCTCGGTGGGACGCCCGTTCCGACCACACCTCCTTTCGGCAGAAGCTGTGTGTTGAGATCGCCCAGCACGCACAGCACATTTCTCTGGGGTATCCCCTTGAGGGCCGAGCTGAGTTTGTGCAGAAAACCCGCCCGCCGATTGAGGCAGTCAGCCCACCAGTCGCCGGGGTTATCCCTTTTTCGGTGATACCAAGCAAATTGATACACATGCAGAACATCAAGTGGCTGGTGCCCCTTCGAGGGGAAGATGCGAATATGTTGCAGCCTGCCGGGTACGGTAGGAGTGTGCCTAATCGCGGTTTCAGGGGCAAAGGTCTTAGCCACGCACACGAGTAGCCCGGCCTCCTTGTTCTGGCCGCTCCCATGGTGGATGTATGTCCACCCAGCGTCGCTCCATTGGCGATCTTCTCGCCAGTAGGTTTCCTGAACACAGAGAATATCGAACGTTTGGGCATTGAGCTGCATCCATGCCTGGAGCTCGGTCCAGATTAGCCCTGTAAGGCCGCTGGAGTTCCACGTCACAAATCGGCATCTCCTTTCCGGGGCTTGAGGCCTACGGCGTGGGTGCTTCGAGGGTTGCGGCTGGGTCTGTGCATCCTTGAGGGCATCGGTGGTCGAGGTCCGAGGCACTTGCAAGTGAGCTGATGTCAGGACCTGGCCGCGATAGTACGCAAATCCGTGTCGTGCTGCTATGGTTTGGGCTTTTCGTAGCGCTTGCTTGCGGTGATGCAATCGGGCAAATGGACCTGGCTTCGCCTTGGCATCAACTGGTGCGAAACCTGAGGGGGCTTCAGAACTCGCGGTCCCGAGTTCAACCCTCGCGTCTGTGGGTTCATGTTGGATCTTCTCGACTAAGTGTGCTGTCCCACCCCCGGACTTGGGACCGGGGCGGGTTGAGATAAAGCTCTGTGCTGTAGCGGTGGCCTGCTCATGCGGGCCTGAGTGTCGGTACCAAGTCATTGTCCTGTGCTCTGGCACTTCGGTTGCTCCGGCTTCAGCTGCTGAGGTCACGGCAACGAGCGGAGTATCAAACCCTCCCGGCATAGATCCCGAAAACAGTGGCACAGCAGGTGGCTGCGCATATGCAGATGCGGGTCCAATCCAGTACTCAGCCAGGTTAGTGGCTGTGGCTGTGGGCTCCCACTCGCTCGGATCAGCGAGGAGACCCTCATCACGCAAATCCTGGTCGGCGGAATTGCGGCTTCTGAGTACAGAAGGGACAATTCGGCCACCTCCGGAACCCCGGTCGGCGGAATTGTGGCTTCTGAATACAGAAGGGACAATTCGGCCACCTCCGGAACCCCGATCAGCGGAATTGTGGCCCCGGTTTTCGCGTGCAGCGACGGTTGCATCCAGGGTCGCGGCATCGGCTGGACACCGTAGTTCTCCTGGATCTCCGATGGCCTCATTCCAGGGTCGTGGGTTGGGGGTGGTTCTATGCGCAATTCCCTGTGTGCTGTTCGCGAGTGGCCGCGGTTCGCCTCTAATCAACATGTCTGGGTTAGGGTTAAGGTCTTCCTGTCCGCAGCTGGCAGTAAGGAGCTGAGGCACACAAGCTGAGGTCGAGGCTGCCGACGGCGTGTGTGTTTCACTCGGCGGTGCCAGTAATCCCGGCGGGGGTCTCACCATCCTGGCATAGATCCTGAGAAGCAGTTCGTCCGGATCTGCATCATCCGGGTGGACATCGGCTGCAGCACACCAGTGTAGGGCATCGGCTGCCTTGGGCACTCCGGGAAGCCAGGGCAACTGCTTTGGCCGTGATGTCCAGTCGCAGGCAGAAAGCTGGGCATCAGAAGGTGCCAGGTACCTGTCCGTTGGCATGTCAATGCAGGCAGCCATGGGGTCACAAGTGAGAGCAGGCTCTAGTAGGCAAGCAGGCTGAGGCGGTGTCAGTGCAAGTGGCACGGGTATGGCTGAAGCATGATACGCAGGAAGCTCCAGATCGCTAGGCCTATGCGGGTCAAGGGCCAAAGGTCCTGTGCTGCAACCGTGGCTGTGGTGCTCAGGCTGTGGCAGTGTAGCCGGTGTATGGGCCGCAGCCCTGCGATCGTCAAAGCACAAGCTTGCTCCAGGCATGTGACGTTCAGGCCGCGGCGGCAGAAAATCTGTCGAGGGCGGTGCGCACTCATGTGGCCTGCAGGTCGCCGGGTCAGGGCTTAAGGGATTCAAGGCCAAGGCAGGGCGCCAGGGCTGATGCATCGGCTGAGGCAAGCTCTGCTGTGTCCATCTAGGCAAGTGTGCATCCAGCTGGCCTGTCGGAGGCCTGGCAGAAGCGTGTGCCGGGTCATGTGCAGAGGGCCACGGGCTGACAGCAGTCAGCAGGCCTGAAGGCCAGGTTGCGGGTCGAGCTCGCAGATCAGAATCAAACTCGGAGCTACTCGCGGCAGGCTCTGTTTCTTGCTGCTCGGTGTCGCCGCCTGGGGTGGCTACTTGCGGCACAAAAGGCGGCGCCGTTGCTGACAGGACATGCTGCAGGCCGGTCGGCGGTAGCATGTCACGACTCTGATGCGATGCAGTCCGTGATAGCGGGCCTCTTTCAGGTCCTGGGGGACCTTCCGTTGCCTCACAATCTTGCGTTCGTTTGGAGCTAAAATGTAACCCAAGAGAACGCTGCTCACTAGGCGATGCTATCTGCTTGCCGGACATGTACTGCAAAATCTGAGACAACTGCAAATTCGCCACGAAATGCAAGCAAATCCCTAAGGAAATCAAGCACAAAGGCAAAATCAAGCGCGAGAACAGATTGGTGATAGGCAGTCGCGCTGAGCTCATAGCCGAAGCGGCGAGAGCACGTGAACAGCCGTTGCCACGATCAAGGTCAGCTGCACACAACACAGGTCTCACTAACAAAATCACAGGCCAGAGGCTTGATGTATTGCAAAGAAGCAAGTGGAAACGTGTTTGCAATGCTGCTGCTCAGGTGGCCACGCAAGATGGCTCTACGAGCGCCTGCGGCGCTATCTGCCGCTACCCCGCCCCTACTCCTCACAAGGGCCGAACGAACAGGGCGAAAGGGAAAAACCAAGGGAGGGGAAACCCCGGGTGCCCTGAACAAAACCAACCCAGGCCCGAGCAAGGGCCCACCGCTACTTTTCTCTTGAACCGAGACGCTTCTTGGATAAAGCACGCCCTAAGGTCGATGTGCCTCACCTTCCTCAGCCCATCAGCCTTGCTGATAGCAACTGCAGCCTCGCTGTCACAGAAGAGATGGGGCTTTGGCAGATCTTCCCACCCAAAAACAAGCGAGATGGCGCGCCGGATAGAGAGAGCCTCTTTAGCACCCTCCACAAGCCCATAGAGCTCGCTCTCGGCAGAACTCAAGGCAACAGCCTGTTGCAGACGGCTCCAGGCCTTCAAACAGAAGCCTCCCAACATCACGCACCCTCCGCTGATGCTCTTCCTGTCAACATTCTTCTCGCTACCCCAGGAAGCGTCCACATAGCAATCAAGGCGCAGGTTCTCTTCAGAAACTGGGTTCACTACCTGCTTAAAACCCTGAATATACTTCAAGTAACGCAACATAGCCCTCATAGCTCTCTCGTGCTTCTCGAGTGGATTCGCCTGGCCTCGGGCCAGCATGCTCACGTAGTAAACCACATCCACTCTTGTCATCGCAAGCCATGACAGCCTTCCCAGGGAACTGCGAAACCTCGCAGCAGCTTCAGAAGACAGGGGTTTCTCCAAGCAAGGATCTTCTTTGTCGTACAACTCCTTTAGGTTGGGCGGCGTGCCACACGCGGTCACCTTGGAGTTCCCGAAGAAACCCTTGTAGATCTCCTCGTAGTAGGAATCGGACATTGTGACACACAGGGAGTCACCAGAATGCTCTCGGGCAATCTGTCTTCCAAGGAAGGTGATCTGACCGTCGCGGTCCAGATCGGCTGTGACCTTCACCTTCACAGCGGTCTTCAGCTGCTCCACCACATGGTAGATAGCTTCATCGCTGTCTCCCGTGATGAGAAGATCATCAACGTAGCAAAGAACAACCACACGCTGGCCTCCAAGCACAGAGCCTGCAAACAAACAAGCTTCAGTCTCGCATGGCTCCAGGTCACAGAGCTTCTTCAGCAGCTTTGCCAGGTGACGCGACCAGGTCTGAGCTGCAACTCTTAGACCATATAGGGCCTTCTTTAGGCGCAAGTAGCCGCGGCGGCCGTCCTTACCTTTCACTCCGTCTGGCAGCCTGACCACAATGTGGCCATCTTCTTCGTCGAGGTCCGCAAAGAGAAACGCGGTGCTCACATCCAACCCGACGATGTTCCTCCTCTTGGAACCCGCGTAGAAAAGAAAAGTTCGCAGCGCTTCTGCAGAGCTTGTGGCAGCAGAGATGCCAAGCTGTGCCGCGGTCGCTCCCTGCGCAAAGTCACGAGCAACAACCCGACACCTGACAAGCGGATTCTCCTTTCCCTCAACACGCTCGACTTTGGCATTGGAGACCCACCTTGTAGAGATCACCTTCTGCTTCGGATCAACATGCCACACAACATCACCGACAGCAAGCGACTCAAGAGCACGAAGTTCACGCAACATGCCCTCATAGGTCAAGCCAATATCAAGCAGGTGCCCAGTCACATCATCCTTTGCAGAAGCTGGTACTTCAACAAACAGCTTCTCCCCCCCAAGCTCAACAACCTGAGGAGTAACAGCCTTGGTGGCGGCCCCGGCAAAGCAAACCGACGCACCAGCAAAGGAGATGGACTCTCGGTACATCACACTAGACACCATGGCCTCCCGCTCTTCTTCAGGGAGTGCCTCAAGAGGTTCAGGATCCACTTGCATGAAATCAAGCTCGCCCGGGCTCGGGGCCTCGATCTGCTCGAGTTCTTCTCCAAGCTCAATCTCATTCTCAACTCCGGGCAGACTGGGCTCATACTCAGCCAAATCCTCGTCCAATGGAAAATTCGGGAACGGATCAAGATCATCCGGCACATCAAGCCCAAGATCAACATCAAATCCAGCACCCAAATCATCACGCCCAGTCACTTCTTCTTCAATTGGGGCTTGATCGAGGATTGCCCGGCTGGGATCGAAAGAGTTCCGCACAAACTCGGCGTATCGATCACGGCACTTCTGGGTGTGCCAGGCCTTATCCGCGGGGAAACCGCGCAGCCGGCAAGCTCGGCACCTTGGGGTTCTTCCGTTTTCTTCAATCCACGCTGGTGGTGGTCCTCGGGTTGCGGTGTTCGGCAACGGGAGGTCGCGCACATTGTCACCACTGCTCTCGGGGAGCTTCTTCTGGGCATCATCCCTTCTTCCAGGCAACATGCGACAAACACCTTTCAAGCTCGACACCTCAAAAGTGAGAGGAACCAGCATCCGGATTCTTGCGCTTCTCGCAATCTTCAAGGCGCCATCCCGCAGCCTAAACTGCACAATGTGGCTTCCACTTCCGACCTCTGGTCCAAGGTAGGCGGCGTGGCCGTAACGGCCGGTGATCTTGTCACGCAAAGAGGGAGGAGGAGTGGCAAGCACAGCAGCACCCCAAACATATGCGGCATGCGGTCCACGGGTGGTCTTCAAACACCGCTGTTCTGGGGACAGCGCCGATCCAGGATGCACCTGGTACCGGTTGTAGACCTGGGCAACGTGCATCAAAAGATACGTGACACCCTTCCTGCAGGGCTCCAAGCCGACCTGTTCCAACCCAGCACACAGTGTGTTTGCACCTTCCTTGATGGTCCTCACAGCACGCTCTGCAACAACAGCATGCCGACCAACAGGGGCATCCACAACTTCGATGGCACCGGCGGTCAAACCATCAGCAAAACTCTGCGCAAGGTTCTTCACAACACCCTCAATGTCCGACTTCACACTCACCGTCAGCTCACTGGGAGCAACACCAACCAAGCCAACGCTACGACTCCATGCCGACATGTCATTCAACATGGCTTCCTTGGCTGCTGGGCCTCGGGATCCGCTCACCTCACGGTACGGAACCACACCGAGGGCAAAGGCACCAACCAAAACCAATACCAGGAACGCGAGGCCCTTATAGAAAAACTTATCTATTTGCACCTCTCTCATCCCTGAGTCCTGGGGCCGATCCTGGCTTCTGGCGGGTTCAAGCCCACGACCTTGCACGCATTGCGGGCAAGACGCATTGTACGGCACATGCGATCTAAGAACATGTTCTCGCTCTAGCTTACCCCAGCTCTCCTGCAACAACAGTTCCCGATCCCCTCTAAGCAACCATGCTTCACTCTGGCTATCATGGGCCTCGCTCCGGTCACGCTGTGGTCGGTCCTGGCCAACATGCTCAAGCAACTCACCATGCTGCAAATCATGCTCACCCAAACCACCAACACATGCATGCTCACCAAGCTCAACTGCAACATCATGCTCACATGCAAACGCAACCTTTTCTTGCATCAGAAGCGAGAGTCCCAAGGAAGAAGGACCATCGGATATTCCTGGATGGTGGGCGTCCTCGGAAGATTGGCGGGCGTCCTTGGAGGATCCTTGTGCACCGCCGTGGCTCACTCTATCTCGATGCTCTCGAGCTCCACCACCTCGCCCCGCGAGTTGTAGATCTTGCCGTCGTCCCCGATGTGCAGCTCCTCGGCTCTCCTCTCTGCTGGGGGCTCCTCGGCTCTCGTCTCGGCTGGGGTTTCCCTGGCCCTTGCATCCACCGGCACGCTGGACACTGGTGACCATGGCGGCAGACTGGACACAGGTGACCACTCTGAGGGCGCAGAGGGCCCTCGTCCGGCTGACCTCGGGCCCCTCGGCGGCGTGGGAAGTCTCCTCCTCGGTGGCACCGGTGGTGGGGGATTGATCTCCATGCCCTCCACCTTGATGACCTCCGGCACCTTTGCTGCACGCGCGCCCTCTCCGGGGCCCTTGCAGCTCGCGCTGGAGGGGTCTTCGGCTGCGGCACCGTCGACGGTCCCGGCGGTCCACGAGGCTCCTTGACGATTTCGGAAATCGTCACCTCCACGAACGGGATCTCCAGCCCCCTGATCTGAGCATAGTGGTCCTTGACATGCTTCTCCCAGGTTCTTCTGACCGGCGCGCCCTTCTGCTCCTCGGCCTTTTTCTTCATAGCGTTGTTGATGGCCTTCATGAGGTAGCCCTGCTTCTTCTTCTCCTTGGCCCGCTGCGAAAGCATTCTCAGCGCAGTGTCGGTCTGCCCGGGAATCCCGCGCTGGGCCCGGCTCTTCAAGGAAGACGGCTCCGCCTTTGCTCTGGCCACACTGCCCTTGGGCTTCTTGACCTCTGTGACCTCGGCCGCTTCGGCGACCCTCTTCTTGGCCTCTGTGGCTGCCTTCTTCTCTGCCTCCGCGGCCTCTGTGGCTGCCTTCTTCTTTGCCTCCGCGGCTCTGCTGGCCAACTTCTCCGCCTCGGCTGCTTTCTTCTTTGCCTCCGTGGCCTCGTCGACCAACTTCTCTGCCTCGGCTGCTTTCTTCTTCCCCTCCGGGGAATCGCTGACCAACTCCACTGCCTCGGCTGCTCTCTTCTTTGCCTCCGTGGCCTCGTTGATCAACTTCTCCGCCTCGGCTGCCTTCTTCTTGGCCTCTGCGGCTTTGGCTGCTCTCTTCTTCTTTGCTTCCTCTGCTTCCTTGGCCCACTGGGCGCTCTCCTGGCGCTCCTTCACGAATTTCTCCGCCGCTGCTTTCGCAGCTGCCTTTGCCTGCTCTGCCGTCTTCTTCTTCACTTCCGCGGCTGGCACCAACAGCAGGTTCTGGCCCGGCGTAAGACCCACCATCGAGGTTGCCGTAAAGGCGACCGTGGACCCCTCGAAATCCTCGTGCGTCCTCGTAACAGTCGCCGCGTGCTGCTCCGCCAGGTGGCGGCGACCCGAAAGGCGCCACTCCTGCTCCGAGTCGGAAGAAGACTCCTCGGGTGCCCGGTTGCTCCTCCCCATCCTTCTTAGAAGGCTTCCCAGAAGAAGGAGCACAGCCGTCACTACGCTTCAAGCTCGCTCGGCGGCAACTGCAACGGAACGGTCAAGCTCAGCAGCACTCGAGAAAACCCATCCGCAATTGGAGACCCATCTCGTGCGAAGAACGTACCCAGCGGCCTCAACTTTAAAACTTGGCAGGAAATCCACAACCCAGCTCTTGCCCAGCAAACGCCCTAAGGACAGCAGGTTAAACTTCACAGGAGCAACAAGCACTTGGAGTTCTGTTACCACCGTCTCGCCTGAAACCAAAACGAATGGAACCCTGACAACCGCAGACCTCCGAACTCCAATGCTGTCACCCGTTGCAGAAACACACTCACTGGCAGACTCACTGTGGCTCACAACGTGCACCCGGCTCAAAGTGTCCTCGTTGATGATGTGGGCTGACGCGCCGGAGTCGACGAGCCACCAGTCCATGGTGTCATGCTGCTGGCTGGCTGCTGCTGTCTCGTGCGCTACCATGCCATGGTCAGGTCTACCTACCACATGCAACATGCCATGCTCAACGCCATTTTGAAAATCTGCAACAAAACGACCTGCTTCCAAGCTCAACTCTGGGGACTCTGCAAGCTCGACTGTGGTTCTGTCTGGGACCTGGTGGGACTCTGCAAGCTCGACTGTGGTTCTGTTTGGGACACAGCGGGACTCTGCAAGCTCAACTGTGGCTCTGTTTGGGCTGTCACAAGGAAAATTTTCAAGCGCAACATGCAACATGGAACCCTCAAGCGCAACCGGCTCACCGCCTTCAAGCACAACAGGCTCCGACCAAGCACACTCATAAGATGCAACGAACTCCTCCCAATCCTCCTGAGAAAAATCCGAGCAATCCTCCTCATCAAGCTCAACAACCGGACAACTCAGATCAACCGCAGCTGCGAAAATCTGAGGCTCCAAAGAGGCAGCCGCAACCTGCGGCTCGAGCAACGCAGCTGCTGATGCTCTTTCCCTCTTGGGCTTGGGACACTTATTCGAGTAGTGCCCGAACTGGTCACAGTTGTAGCACTTGACGTTCTTCAAGCGCTCTGCTTTCTCCTTCTCCTTGTCCTTGTCGCTTCCAGAACCTTGCTTGCCGTCCTTTGCGGCTGCAGTCTTCCCTTTGTCCTTGCCTTTGTCCTTTCCACCTTTCCCTTTTCCTTCCTTTCCTTTCTCCTTCCCTTTCTTGTTGTCCTTTCCTTTGTCCTTTCCTTTTCCTTCCTTTCCTTTGTCACCCTTCTTGCCCTTTCCCTTGTCTTCGAAGGTCAAAGCATTCGCGTGGTCCTTTGCTGCTCCCTTTCCTTCCTTCTGGAAATTCAGGATCTTAAGGTTGGCATCATAAAACTTCAAAGCGGTTTCAAGCTGATCCATGGAGTCAACCCTAGCATGCAAAAGAACATACTTCTTCACTTCAACGTCAAGGTTTCTCAAAACAATCATGCAACGATCTGCCTCACTCAACGCAAGATCTGGGAACCCTGCGGTCAAGCGGGTAAACTTGGCAAGCTCCAACTGGATGTTCCGAAACATGTCAAGTGGGCGATTGGCAGGAGTGCTCGCGCGGTACTGCAAGGCCTCATTCCGAAGCGTCGAAGCCTCGATGCGGCTCGCAACAGACAACTCCTGATGCAACCTCCTCATGCACTCGTACCCAGCTGGGGAGCCAAGCTCCTTCTCCACTTGCTTAACCAAGTCAAGCCCACGAGCAAACCCTTGCACTTGCTTCAGGTACAAGAAGGTCCTAGTTGAACTCACGCTCTGTCCCTTTTCAAACGATGACTGCTTTGATGGTGACCTCAGAGGCAATCGACCGATGAAGCTCTTCCGGGATCCTATCATCAAAGAGGGCGATCCACGGCAAGAATTGCTCTAGGAACTCAGCCCATCCTTCGATCTCCGAGCGACGGCCTTTGCTCATCTTTCCACCATCAATTGCAGGCAACTTAGGAACGTAAGCTTCAGCTTTGGGATTCCTGGGGAGCACCTCCCTCATCAACCTCCATCTTCCCCGACGAATCGGAGATGGAGCTAAGCTCTCCACCGTGGCCCTTGCCTCTTGCAGTAGGTGGCACAGGCACTTCCCTGCTCACAAGAGCCTGAACAGAGACGAAGCTGAGCAACTTGCTACTGCTGCTGCTGCACCGTCTGGAAACGTCTGGTGGGTGGTGGTGCACTCACTGGCGAAACTCCATCAAACTCTGGCAAATCTGGAGGGGGTGGCAACACACCTCCAAGAGGATTCGGCGAGTCAGCTGGGCTTCCCACCACAGGCTTCCCGTTGGATGCATACCCCGTTCCAGAGCCGACAATTTCGACACCCGACTGAAGGCAGCCCGACACTGCTCGCTCTTGGCCTCTGGTAAGGTGGCCCAGCGTCTGACCTGCTTATTCCTTCGGATCATACCAGGCTCATCTAGCCCATCGCGGAGCGTGATGAACGCTCGTTGCCAACCAAAAAAAGAGCCCAAAGTTCCAAGTACCCTGCAAGCAAAGCAAGCTCACAAAACACTCACAGCTCACTGCTGGTCTCACGTGTCTTGGCCAAACGACAAACAAGGGAAAACAAGCTGTAGTTCACTCTGCAGTGAAAGCGTGACCGAACTGCTTGGCTCAAGCGCGAGTGTGAAATAAGTCCGAGTGCAACGCTTCGCTTTGCAGTTTGTCCTGAGCCACTTCGTGAAGTTTGTTTTCCGACTTAGAGAGCTTCGTGAGCTTTTGGTTGCAACTTCAAGGTTTTGAACTTGATTGCGACGGTCTCGAAGTTTTTCGTGGTAGCGGAGCGTGGCTCCTAGCTACGCTTCAGCAGAGGACGTGCTTGGTTGTTGCTTAAGAAAAGTGTGAGTGACAATGAGAAGACCAGTGTCTACCAGCTGGTGGGGATGACTCTTCGTTGTCCAGCTTGGGTGGTGGAAGTCGTGTTCTAGGACCTCAGTCCCGCAGAGAGCACAACTTGTTGAAGCAGAGTTTGGGAACGTTCCAGCGTGGACTGGATATCGTTCGCCAAGCAGAGCAGTGTGGGTACGAGGTCTTCAGAAAGCTGAACCTGGAGTTCGGGATACAGTCCCGGATGGAAGCGAGTGCGATTAGAGAGTCTGTCCTGAACTACCGTCCTGGAAAACATCTGCAGCGCCCTTTGAACATTTGTCGGGCGGTCGAAGCAGAGCTCTTGAGAACAGACAGGAATTTGAGTTTCTATCCGTCTGTGCGCCTATCGGAAGCTGAGAAGGTGGTGATGCTCCACTTCAAGTATGCCGGAGAACTGCAAGCACTACGTTCTCTTGCACGGGAAGAGTGAGACTCTTGAGCAGGTCCTTGCGTCGATCAAGTTTTATGATTCCCAGCTTCGGCTCATCGGGTATGAGAAGGAGACTGGGAAGGCCGCTTGGACTGAAGAGATGGTGGCTTCGAGAAGGGCAAAGGAAAAGGAAAGAAAGGAAAGGAAAGAAGAAAGGAAAAGACAAAGGCAAGAGCACGAGCCCAGACAAGAAGGGAAAAGGAAAAGATGAGAAGGGAAGGTCGCAGTCTGCTTCGCCAACCAAGGGGAAGTGCTTCAACTGCGGTGAGAAGGGGCACTTTGCTCGAGACTGTTCCAAGCCGCGGAAGAACGAGAATGGTGACGACAAGGCCTCTGCTGAAGGCCAAAGCAAAGAGCGCAGCAGCAAAGAGTACAGCGACGACGCCGCAAGTGACGATGACGTTTTTGGTTGGAGCTTTGGAGCCGCAGCCCGGCCCTTTCCAAGCGCGTGGTCGAGAAGGTTTTCTTTCACAAGGGCGTTCTGCACAACAGCATGGTCACGTTGCAGAACAGCATGGTCACGTTGCAGAACAGCATGGTCACGTTGCAGAACAGCAAGAACATGGTCAGCTAGCAGCTTTGCGTGGTCACGTTCGCTTTGCAGAAGACACAGGGCATGAGAACGTTGAGCATGGTCAGTTGTTTCCACAGCATGTCGAGCAGGTGAACAGCATTGGAGCCTCCACGTTTTCTTTTGAAGAGCAGTGTGCTTGGTTGATAGACTCTGGAGCTTCATGTCACTTGATCGGGGAGGGCATGCTACTTGCCGACCCACAGTTAGGGTGGAAACAGTTTTTGGGTGGAAGCCTGGTGTGTGCATGTGTTGTTGGAGCAAAACGACTTCAATGATGATCGGGACGGGGGGAAACAACCATGGCTATAGCGAAATAAAATGACTTGCCCCTTGTTGTTTCTGAGGTGTATTGCAACTTTGTTTGAGATGGCAAACACTCATTTTTGATTGTTTCAGTTCAAGAATGTCATCCGGCAGCCAGCATCCAATACAAATATTTGCAGGGTGGCAAAATCCACGTGTCGATGACTCATTTGAAATTTGTTGAAGCATGACATCAAAAAAATCAACACCATACCACACGACGTGTGCAGGGTTCGAGTTGAGGTTGAGTATATTCTTTCATTTCTCTTTCGGCAACAAGTATTCATTACCAATTTCGTGTAAAGCGAAAAGATAATGGGATCTCCGTTAGTATGGCAATCCATAAAATAATCTAAGTTTTGTTATATGTTGGGGGTTCGAGCTCAAAGCATTGACTTCTACGTTTGAGGTATAACGTTTTGAATCCTAAACCTTTAAAAACTTTAAACACTGGACCCTTGAACCCTAAAGCCTCAGGAACCCTAAAACCCTAGGGGATAGGTTTGGTATGTCTTCTTCATTTTTGGTATACGATAGCACAAGTCTTCTATGTATGACAGTAGGTATCGAAATTTCCGTTGTTGGCCCATCTGGCCTTTCAGCTTTAGATCCCTTAACCCCCACACACCCCCAGCCTAAAAACTGAGCTGCGAGCGCCTTGTCAGACCTGGAGCGACGGGGGTGCTTTGTCTAAACACCGACGGCTTCCCCAAGGTCACTGGGGGATAGGGCTTTATAGGGGGTTTAGGGTTTCAGGGTTTAAGGGTTTCTGGTGCTTTACGGTTTATTGGTTGGGGGTGGTTCTTGGTCGGAGCA